AAAATTTTTTTAGGAGACTGATATATATGCAATGAAAGAGTAAGTGAATTCCTTCATGTCACTCCTTCTCATATAAACTTCAAAATGGTCAACGTGCACTTTTATAGAAGGCAGCAGAGTACAGGGGGATAGAAGAATAAACTTAGAACCAGGAAGATCTGGGTTTGAATCTCTCTTGGGAAACACCAGATAGCCATCGAGATTTCTTTCAGCTCTAGAAATGAGTCCATATACTTGCCAGCTATATGACCATGAGCCACATTACTTAAAGCCTCTCAGCCTCAATTTCCTCATCTGTAAAATGGGGACGATAACACCTACTTCATAGAGTTCTTAAGGGTATCCCAAAAGCCTTAGTTAAGTTTTAAGTTACTTAAGTTTAAGCTATTAAAGTTTAAAGCCACACTAACACACTTGGGACACCCTGTAAAGTATTTTTGCCAACCTTTATGTGAGAAACATTTATGGGAGATTTGTTAGCTGTTATTATTAACAGTCATCATCAGAAGGAACTGAAGACTGAAAGCACTGCTACAGAGATCTATTTCTAAATTATTAACTTAGTTGGGTCTTCCCATCTTCTAGGGAGGGGGGAGGGGTCCCTCCAGTCACTGGGATTTGTGAACTAGTTTGGGCACCTACCATCCATCATTTTTCTTTCTAAATGCTCTTTCCATTCACTTGGAAGGTGACCTGGTTTATGCATTCTGCTGTCCAGAGAGGTGGCAGACTAGGGGTATCCCCCGAAATTGGAATCCAGAGAGCTGCTTCTAATCTTGGCTCTGCCACTAACACGTTGGGGACAGGTGGGAAAGGCCCTGACCCTCTCCAGGCCTATCTGCAAAATGAAGGGCTGCACTGGATGGCCCCTAAAGGTCCCTTCCAGTTCAGATATTTTATTCTCTGTATTCTAAGATTCCTTCCATTTCTGGCAGTCTAGGCTTTACAGGTACATTCTAAGTCTTCTTATAGCTCTGATATTCTATTTGAGCTTTGGACACTTACTAGCTGTGTGTCCCTGGGCAACTCACTTAACTGCTGTCTGCCTCAGTTTCCCCCTCAGTTTAATGGGTATAATAACAGCATCTACCTCCCAGGGTTGTTATAAAGACAAATCAGAACAATACATGTAAAGCACTTTGCAAACCTTATAGTACTATATAAATCATGGCTATTATTAGAGCAATGGAGCCAGAATAAGCCATCACCAGTGCCAGTGGTATCCTGACACTCTTTTTCTTCACTGTCTTCAGTCTTTCCCCCAGGTGGTTAGTGAAGACAACTGGCCTTCTCTGGTATTCATATGCTTGTGAGTGACACTGGCAGGTCCTGGGTTACTGGAGAGGGCTAGGTGGCACATCAGATAGAGAACCGGGCCTGAAATCAGGAAGACTCATCTTCTTGAGTTCAAATCTGGCCCCAGATACTTACTAGCTGTGTGACCCTAAGAAAGTCACCTAACCCTGTTTGCCTCAGTTTCCTCATCTGTAAAATGAGCTGGAAAACCACTCTAGCATCTTTGCTGAGAGAACCTTAAATAGGGTCATGAAGAGCCACATGACTGAAAAAATTACTGTTATTATTATTCCAAGGTTCCTTCCAGCTCTGAAGTTGCATGTTCTAAAGTCCTTTTCAGTGATGACATTCTAAGCTTTATGTTCTAAGGTTCCTTTCAGTTCCTACAGTCAATGCTCTACATCTACACCTAAATGTCTGGATAGTCTCTCATACTCATCCCTTCCAAAACTTAATTCATGATCTTTCTTCTTAAACCTTTTCCTCCTAATTTTCCTATTTCAATTGATGGTACTAGCCTTCTCCTCCCAGTCACCTGGGCCCAGAAAACCTTGCTATAAACCTTTGAATCTTCTCTCTCCTCACCCCTTCACACCCAATGAGTCTCTAAACCTTGTCAACTGTACCACTACAACCACCCCTCAAATCATGTGGCTTCCTCCTTCAAACCCACATTACATCTCTTGATTGTACCACTGTAATAGCCTTCTCCCGGATCTTCTGGCTTCCAATCTTTTCTCTCTCCAAACCATTCTCTCCACACAGCTGCCAAAATAATTGTCCTAAAATGAAGCTTTGATCATGTTTCTACCCCACTCAAAAATTTCCAGTGGCCTCCCATGGCTAGCCATTAAAAATGCAAACTAAACCTAGCATTTCTAACTACCTTTTCAGCCATATTTTATTCTAAATCCTTCCATGCATTATATGATATTCCTGTTCAACTATACTAGTTGGAAACTCATAATCCTGCACTCTCCTGCCTCAGTGCATTAGGTATGTTTATATGTGTTTGTGTGTATAGATAGATATGGATAGATATATGTACACATATACATGTATGTATATACACATACATGTATATGAAACATATACACATATATGTATGTGTACATATATATGCCTATATGTATATATCTGTATCTATAAGAATAGATATAGATATCTCCTTCCATATCTCTGCCTTCTGAAATCCTTATTTCCCTTCCTAGCCATGCTCAGGTACAGCCTTCTCCATGAAATCTTCCCCTGGCATCTTCCCTTTCTTTCCTCCCCACCCCCAGCTAAGAGAAATCTCTCCTTTCCTCAGATTTTCCTAGAACATTCTGTATGGTTACCCAATCTAACACTGTTCCTTACTAACATCACACTTTCTGCATACCCACCATAGCTTCAGTACTAAGATAAACTTCTTGAAGGCAGAGACTATGACATAGTAACTTGCTTAAGGGCTATGCCTAATAAATGCTTGAAGAAAATCTACCATTTTTTCCTATTCAATGTTTTAAGTTGAAAATAGCTTTTAAAAGTCATGTGCAATATATGTTATAAATCTAACTGAAGGTAAAACATTGAACCCAAGCACTAGTTGAGTAAATCATTCCTCATATCAAGATTTGATACTAAGGACTGTACAACTCTGCTCTATGAAACACTGAGAGGCAGCATGCACTGATGAAGAAAGGATGGCACTGCAGTCAGGAAGACCTGGGTTCAAATTCTGCCTGGGACCAATTCTGGCTGAGTGACCATGGGCAAGTCACTTAACTTCTCTCTGCTACTGACAGCTTTGTGAGTTGCAGATGCCAATCTTACTCTGAAGAGACAAAGTCCACACAGGAAGATCCCCACACAGATGGAATCACAAATCTGGCCTCCTTCCCCCCCAAAATGAATCTACAACTTATGATGGACCAAGAGTCAAACTTTTTGCCTGCAGGATGTTCTGAATGATTACTTAGGCACCAAAACATATGAAAGGCTACTGTACTGGTCTTAACATTTTTTTCTCAGTTTCCTTCCCCATCTTCATTTATAAAGAGAATCCTTCCCAGCATAACTTAAATTGGATTAAAGCAAAATCCAAAATGTTCCAATTCAGAATTCCAGTTTGAAGAGTTCCACTCCCAAATAAATAAACAAACACCTTGGTTGGCCCCATCCATTCAGCCCAAGGAAACTTCCGGAATTCATTCACTTGAGATCATTCCCCTCCCCCAATACCCTAGGAATTGAATCTTCAAAGCAGATCCTGTTTCATTACTTTTAGAGACCGAAAGGAACCCTCAACAACTCATCAAATCCAACCCCCTCATTCTGCAGATGGGAAAACTGAGTCTGAGAAGGCAAGCTATTTCGAAGTCACACAGGTAGTAGGTGGCAAAGCTGAGATTTGAAACTAGGTAAAGTGGCAGCTCTGTGCAACGGAAAGAGCTTGGGATTTGAAACCAGGGGGCCTGCTTTTAAATCCCTCTGGACCTCAGTTTCACTATCTGTAGACCATGAGCTCCTTGAGAGGGGGGCTCTTTGATCTTTCTTTGTATACCACAGTGCCTGGAACACTGTAGGTGTTTAATAAATGCTTACTGACTATGGTCCACCTATCCCAAACCTGGAGTCTTTCCCACCACCATAAGCTAGTATAGTAATATGTATTAATTTTTTCAATTAAAAAATGTGCTCTAGGCAGATGCAAAGTAACAAGAGGCAACCAAACTCTGTAGGTGGTCCTGTCTAGAGAAGGTTAACAAACGCTCAGGCTCAGGCGTTTCTAAGTTAGGAAGTTACCACTTGAGCGGGTTTCATTGTCCAAGCTTCCTCCCCCATCTTGCCCTTTCTGAGCCAGCTCAGGTGCAGAGTTGAAACTTTTTGGAAAAAGCCCAAGGGTAAACAGGGGCTGATTATGAAAAGCTTAACCTCTCTAAGAGAAGCTAGTCTCCCAAGGCCAGACAAGAAAGAAGTGGTGGACAGGGCTGTAGAGCTCCAGGGCTCCAGTGGTCAGTTAGTCAGTCAACAAGTATTATTAGGAGAGGGAGAAGCAGGACTTTCCCAAAACAATTTTTGGTCTAAGACTCCACTGAGTTTCTGCTAAAGGGTGAGTTTTTCATCTTCCATTGGAGTCTTCACCATAAGGGTCTGGTTAGACCCCATCGCTGTTGGGGCAGGGAGGGGAAGAGGAAGGGAGGGAAGAAAGGGTGTCTCTGCCCTTCACAAAGGCAAGCACTCTGCGCGCCCGGAAACACGACCCCCCAAACCTAGGGCCTCTTAGCCGCCGGAGTGCGCCAGCCCGCGCAGATAGCGGGAAAGGGTTTGCTCCGTGGGTCGGTCAGTGTGGCCAGGAAGAAGGCGGGGCCCCGTGGGAGGCAGCTTGGGCTGGGCGTCAGGACACCTGGGGGGAGGACGGGGTGTCCAACCTGGCCTCCACCTTAGACTCGAGCTGTGTGACCTTGGGCATGTTACTCCCCCTCTCTGGGTCTCAGTCCATGCTTCTAGATCACGCTGCCCTCTCGGGCCAGTGATGCACACCCCTGCCTCCAGTCCAAGCACGGCCGTGGGGGGTCCCGGGAGCCAGCGTGGAGGGAGCACCTCCTCCCAACCCTCCCAGCACTAGATGGACACACACACCCCCTCCTCCTCCCGCGGCCCCGGGGCCACCATGGCTTGGGACCCTTTCGTCGCATCCTCCCAGCCCTGGCCCCGCTTACACTGGAAGGCAGCCGCTCCCGGGATGCCCACCATCGCCCGCGGTGCAGCCGCAGCCCCTGCAGCTCCGAACCAGCGCCGACAGCCGAGGCCGAGCTGGACCCAGCTCAGATAGGCCGCAGCCCCGCCCCCCCCACTGGCCCCTCCTCTAGGCTGGCCCCACCCCACCCCTGGACTTCCCCGCCCCCGCACCTCCCCCACCTGGCTCCATCCCTGGACTGGCCCAGGCGCATTCTGATCCCGCCCTTCCCCGAACCGGCCCCATCCCTAGACTGGCCCGACCCGCGTTCTGCTCCCGCCCCACTGCCACAGGTCCGGCCCCTGCCTATGCATCACGTCCCCGCCCTCCTGGGCTGTGAAGAGGGCACCGCCCACTCGGACGTCACTGGAGCATCTCCTTATAGTAGCTGGGCTTCTTGACTCGGGACCTTGGACGCAGGTCCACCGTCACTCCCACATCCTGAATCCTTTATGCTTGACCGGACCGCCTTCACTTGCCTGTCCCTTTCTTTGGAACGAATTGGCTTCAAGAGAGGAGAGAACCTGCAGAATTTCCCTGTAGCTATGGTGGTTAAACCTAGGAATGCATCCCTAAAGAGGTTTAATTTCCTTTCCCAAACATTTGAAAATGGAATAGAACATCACCTTTCTAAGAGAGGGTAGTAGCAATACCACTACTTAATTCTGTATCCCAAAGAGATTAGGAAAAGGAAGAAGACCCACATGTACAAAAATATTTATAGCAGCTCTTTTTGTGGTGGCAAAGAATTGGAAATTCAAGGGATGCCCATCAGTTGGGGAATGGCTGAACAAGTGGTGGAATATGATTGTGATAGAATACTATTCTGCTACAAGAAATGACTAGTAGGATGGTTTCAGGAAAACCTGGAAAGACATGTGTGAATTGATGAAGTGAACAGAACCAGGAGATCATTGTGCAGAGTTAACAGTAAAGATGATCAACTGTGAAAGACTTAGCTACTCTAATCAATACAATGATCCAAGAGACTAGATGAAAAATGCTCTCCACCTCTGGAGAGAGAACTGATGAATTCTGAGTGCAGATTGAAGCATACTTTTTCACTTTGTTTTTGCCTTTTTTTTCAATGTAGCTAATATGGGAATATTTTGCATGACTTCACATATATAGTTGATATATTGCTTGCCTTGTCAATGGATGGGGGAGGGGCTGGAGAGAGAGGAGAATTTGGAACTTGAAATTTAAAAAAACAAATGTTAAAATAAAGAATAATTGTTTAAAAATTTTCAAGTATAGGTAAAGGGAAAAAATGTACATATAAGAGAAGATAGTTTAGTACCTATCTGAAAAGATGGAGGGTAAGGTGGCCTAGATGACCCTTTAAGATTCCTAGTAACATCATAGGATACTTAACTAATAAACACAGTGGCCCCAAAGTGCAGTGAACCCCTTTGGTTAGTAGTGAGCTCTCCATCACTAAAGAGCTGCAAGCAGTGGCTGGCTGACCATTTAGGATTGAGAATTGTTGTTGTTGTTGTTGTTGTTGTTTTTTAAAGGGGATTACTTTCTTATGTAGAGTTTGAATAGATGAGGTCCTTCCAGCTCTGAGATTTTATGGTTCTATGATTCTATGGACTTGGGAGACTGGAGAATATTATCCGGGGGAAAGACTGCTGAGACCAGGATCTGGGAATCCTTATAGTGCCAGTAAGGAGCTGGACACATGCAGGAGTGAAAACAGGGAAGGGAGCAGAGCAAGGTCTGGAGAAGAAAAGATGAACAAATGAAAGAGCACTTATGAAGCACTTAGAATATGCAAAACTAACTCACTGAAAGTACAAACAAAAGACTGTCCCAGCTCTCAATATGCTTATCTTAATTGCTGTTGTTGTTATTTGTCCTTTGTTCTGGAAGAAGACTATAACATATGCCAGGACATGCAAGTGAATCTGATTTAAGTGAGGGAGGGCTGTGCAAAGTCACCAGCCTCACTTTCTCCTCCAGAACCACGTGGACCCACTGGCAAGGTGTAGTTCAGGGCAACTGGAGATGGCCCCAGATGCAGTGGGAGGCCTAGGGAAGACAACAAAGACATAAAGAAGATTCAGCCCTAAATTGGATGGAAAGGTCCTCAGAGGGCAGGTGAGTGATGCCTCAGCTTTAATGTCATTTCTAGAAATAAAATTGTATCATTTTGTGAGACTGAACCGTTGGATAGTGTTAAGGACCTTGGCAGCAAAAATTTTCATTCCTAGGTCTTCTACAGCTGTTGTTGCAGAAACCACAGAAGGGACTGTCAAGCCACATCTTCACACCCCAGGGTGATAGCCAGGAGGGTTAGAATGGAAGCAGGGAGGTCTGATGATCTGGGCAATGCTGCCACTCCCAGGGATCTATATGCCTGTTGGTGGTAGTTGGTTGTCAACTGGTATAGAGGAATGTGGGTCTCTTCTCCACAATAATGGTTGTGAATTCAGGGCTTGGATTGGAAACAGAACCAATGGTTAGAGAACACCACTATTCCCAAGGTCCCTGGCTACCCCCATTGGGGTCAAAGGGAAGGTAGTGGAGGTCACTGCTTTGGCTGGGCTGGCTTGCCTACTTGATGGGGCAGGGCCTCCCGATATGTCAGAACCAAAGTCAAGAGTCTGCCAGGCCCAGGAGGGATGTAAATGTATATCAAGCAATCCTGCTCTACTTGGTGGGGGAAGGGGAACCCGCAGAGGGAAGGATTAACCTAGTTGAGGAAAGGGGACAGATATATAAAGGAGCAGAACAACTACAATAGTGCCTCTGTGTTCCTTCCTCACAGATTCAACAGACCTGAAGGCTTTGGGGCACAAAAGTCTGAATGGGAATAATCAGCCCCAGGAAACCAGATGGAGACTCTCATAGCCCTGAGCACTGGGCTTCAGTCATTCTGAGTGGCTGGGTTGGGGGTTAGAGGGCAGCTGTGATGAGTCATTCAGAAAGATCAGGACCCAGAGATCCTGCTAAGAATACCGTTCTCTAAGGAAGAGGACGACATGGTAGAAATACAGAGTCTCAAATCTAGAAAGGTCCTCAGAGGGCACCTCGACCAGTTGGTCGTTGAAGAGGAATCCCTTCTACACCTTTCCTGATGAAAGATCCTTCAGCCTCCACCTGAAGAGATAGGTTCCCACATACTATTCTCCCTTTCTCACCCTGCTCCAAAAGGTAACCCCTTCTACTCTGGGAAAATTCTGATTATGAAAAAATTCTTTCTTCTGTTACAAAGGCTTTGTTTTTCTTTTTTTTTTTTTCTTTTCCAGTAGGTGGGGCAGAGAGGGTAAGGGGGAAAAGGGATAGGACAGCAAGAAAGAAAAGAGGACCACTGTGTCCCTTTTAAAAATAATTCAGAGAACAGAAGGAAGGTCAGAAGGAAGCACAAACAGGATAGCATTGAAAGCTACAGGTTGAATTCATTACATATGTTTTAAAAATAAGTTTTTATTGATATAGTGGTTTTTTACATGACCATAGTAAGTTTCCCCCTTTTTTTCCCTTTTCTCCTCCCAAAGAGCCATCTCCTATGACAAATTAAAGATATAAACGAGAAAAACTAGCATAATTGAGCAATACATTAAAAAAAAGTCTGAAAATAAGTGCAATGCCCACTTGTAGACCTCCCACCTCTTCGAAGGGATGGGGTTCCAGTGTTTTCTAATATCTTCTTTTGAGTCACACTTGTTCTGTATTTGCCACTTTCATAATTTCCTATAGCAGGTATCATCTACTTAAAAAGAAAAGCATGCCATAAATGACATCAGCTGTTTAGTGTACAATATTCTTTTTTTCTGTTCTACTATATATAGGAAAATGCCCATTTTATTTGGTGTTATGTTAAGAACAAACTTTTTTAAAAAGTTTTTTCTTACATGAAGTGTAAGTCTGCTTCAATGTCTAGCCCAGGGCTTTGCATATTGTGTGTTGAAACAGGACAGCTTTGAAAGTAACATGTTGAATTTATTATATACTTTAAAAACATAAGATGGATAGATAAATATATGATTTCACATATAATCCACTTTTTCTGTTTTACTTGGTATATGGAAATGCTCATTTTTTTTATGTTCATTAGATTCAGAGTAAAAATTTTTTTAAAATATATGTTGAATTGAGTTGAATATGATTGCCCTCTATGGTTGCCATAGATATTATATATATATATTATATATACATATATTTTTATATTTACAATTTTAGGCTGACAAGTCACAATCAACAGTCACCCAACCAGCTTTGTTAAGTGGTCTAGCTAGGGGGATCCAAAGAAAGGTAAAAATATGATCCCTGCTCTCAAGGGACTCATTCCTAAAGAGGAAGGAGACAAAACTCAAACAACTGTGTACCTACTGATAAGTACTTTGTTTAGAAGAGATTATCCCATAGGAAAGCTCCAGGGGATAAGGGATGGGACCCAGAAAGGCCTCTAGTTAAAGGTGGGGTTTAAGCTGTGCAGGAATCCAGGAAGTAGAGGGAAGGTGGCAGAGTGTTCCAGGTATGGGGATAGCCATTGAAAAGGCCAGGTAGGGGCAGGTAGGTGGTGCAGTGGATAGAGCACCAGCCCTGGAGTCAGGAGGACATGAGTTCAAATCCTATCCCAGACATTTACTAGCTGTGTGACTCTTGGCAAATCCTTTAACCCCATTGCCTCACAAAAAAAGAAGAGGCCAAGGAAATGAGAAAGAAACTACAACAGAACATTGCCCTTGGGTCATAGAGTATGCAGAAGGGAATGAATGTTAAAAGGATTGGAAAGGTAAGAAGGGGCCAAGTTGTGAAGGGTTTTAAAAGATTTTGGTCTTAGAGGTAATAGGAGTGTGAACCGAACTTCAGAAAGATCAGTTGGGCAGTTGTGTGGAAGATGGACTGCCATAGGGACAGATGAGGTAGGGAGACCACCTAGAAGGCTGTTGTCATGCTCTAGGCCTGAGGTGAGAGCCTGCCCCAGGGGTGGCTATATGAGCAGACAGGAGGGAATACTTATGAAGGCAGGAATGACAATGCTTGGCAACAGATTGCATATATGGAATGAATGTGAAAAAAGAGTAGAGGAT